GGTGTGGGGAGGTCAGGAGGCAGGTGTTGGGGAGCCAGGCCATGTGAGAGGCCACACGCCAAACCACTGGACCCCACCTCTTCCTGACCCATTTGAGTTTTCTTCAGAAGGGCTCTGACCCATTTCTTTTCATGCTCATTACAACAGCCAGGACCAGGCCTCACCCCAAAGCCTGGAGGGCCACAGCTAACTGGCCCTGTCCTTCCAGCTCTCCTTCCCCTGGGCTGTCCTGCACCTGCCTGAAATCCTCAAGGGCTCCCTACTTCCCCCAGAGGATAAAGGCCAAATCCTCAGCCTACCAACTGAGACCCTCCTCCAGCACCGTGGTGAGCCTCCCCTGTGTGAATCTGTTCTACTGTCTTCCTGAACCCTCGGCTTGGGAGGGTCTCCCACCTGCTCTAAGGACCTCCTTGGTCCCAGTAAGCAGCCCCTAGGAATCTGTGAGCCCCTCACAGATTGCAGGAGCCCTTCCTAATTATCCTCATTACGAGGCTGAGCCCAATGCCCCAGCTAGATGGGCCTCGGTAGAATCCTCTCTGACTCCCCTGATCTGAACTCGGCACCCCCAGGGGCCAGGGCTGCAGCAGCTGGTCTGAAGAGAAGACAGCTGGCTGGGGGTGGGGGCTCAGAGGGAGACCCTAAGGAGGCCTGGGGATTGAAGTCCAGGCAAGGATGGAACACAAGGTCAGCCCCGGAACAGTGACCAGACTTGAACACAGACACAGTTGCCCACAGGAGTGGGCAAGGCGACTGACCTTGGAGACTCTGGTACAAGTCCTCTGCTTTCACTGCTGGCATGGGCTCACCTGCAGGGGGGAGTGGGCAGGCCCAGGTCAGGCCTCTGCACCCTCAACTGGCTGCCCCACCCCTGCGCCCTCTGCGTGCCAAGGTCCACTGCCCCCTTTCGCGCCTGCTGCTTCAAGACCCCTGGGCTCTCCCTGCCCCCTGTGCTGGGAGACACAAGTGGAGAAGAGATACCAGAAGTGGGGCGCCTTGTCCCCAGCTCCCCTCCTCCTCCCAGGCCCAGCTCGTCCACAGCCACAGCTGCCAGCCAGGTCTGTGCCTTGTGCCTCACCCTCCAGGCAAGTCAGGGGCTGGGGCTGCAGACTCCAAGCTGCTCACCACTGCTGGGACCCACAGACCCGGGCCCCAGGGCAGCCAGAGGGGGACAGGGAGGCCGAGAGCGTGAGACATAGGAGGAGGCCGAGAGCAGAAGACTCAGTCAGCGACACAGAGCAAACCCAGGAGGCCTCGCCATGGCCGCCATACCTGAGAGAAGCAGCAGCAGCACCACCAGCCAGTTGCCAGGCACCGGAGACAGCACCAGCCCGGCCATGGTCACAGCTCTGTCCCAGAGCCTGAGCCCGTGACCGTCCGAGGCTCTTGGGGGAAAACGTGTAACTGCCTGGCTGCAGCCCATCACCACCCCGCCTCTTCCCCTCCAGGCCCCTTCCTGCCATGCAAATTGTGACCCAGGGGAGGCCTGGGCTCTCCTGGGACACTGGGGGAGGGTGGGCTTTCATCAGCTGGGCCACTAAGGCTTGAAGGTCGCCTGGGTTGGGCAGCACAGCTGGGAGCCTCGGAGGAAGTCCTGGAAGGGGGGCTTCTGAGTCTTGTGGGGACAGCCTGTGCTTCCCTTCCTTGGTCCCCACCCCGTTATTGGTCATCCCCCGTCTGCAGGCCGCCAGTTCCTGGGAGTCTTCATGCTAGGCACTTAGCTAACACCCAGGAGTGAATCTAACCCGTGCTCCCTCTGCTCTGGACCACTTCACCCTGTGAGAAGAGGAGAACTGAGGAAGGGCAGTGCAGGAGCCAGGCACCTGGCAGGAACCCGAGCAGAACCCCTTGAAGGACATGCAGGTGATTATGTTGGAAGTTGGCCTGTGGAAGAAGGGAGCCACAGAGGTTCTTGAGCAAGAGCACGGCAAATGAGGCAGCCACTCGGGAGAAGATGCATATTTGCTGCCAAAGTGAGTGAACTAGGTAGAGATGCTTAGAGGAAACCCACCACTTAACAACCCAGGGGGCTTTGCCAGGAGCAGTGGCACATAATTCCAGAGACTTGGGAGGACGAGGCAGGAGGATCGCAAATGAGAGGCCGGGCTCCGAAACTCAGAGAGGCCCTAAGCAACACAAAAACAAACCCCCCCAAAACTGAAAAAAAAAACTATCAGGGAGCTTCTTCAGGGAGTTGTGTGAACCGGGAGGGCACCGAGGTGTTGTCTGCAGCTCCAGGGGGTCTTGGGCAAGGGACAAGGCTAAGGACACCCTCTCAGGTTCTGGAGCTAAAAGGCCCTCTGGCTCTATCCTGCTGTCAGTAGGGCAGGGGACGGACATGCAGCTTTCATGAGTTCATGTAAACCCAGCTTCATGCCCCTGATCCGATCCAGGGTCCCCTGTAACCCTTGCCCCATGTGCAACCTGCACAACCGTGTGGACTTGCGAACCTCAGCCCCACCGCCGGGTCCTCTCTGAGTTTTGTGTCTCCTGGTGGCTTCGTTCTCTTTCTCATCCCTTTACTCTTTCTCATACAGTGACCCCCAGGAGAGGAAGACAGATGCTAAGTCCTCTGTCCACATCTCACTGTCCCCATGACCCTCCATTTCTCAAACAGCCTGTGTGGGTGGCAGACCTGCCTGTGTTTGGGGAGCTGCGACCCCTCATCCCACAGCAGGGTTGGCACACAGAGGGTCTAGGCGCTCCACCTCTGTCCTGAACATGTGTGTCATCTGACAGGTAGGGCCTGTGCCCGAGGGGAGCAGGCCAGGAAATCGGGGATCCATGGGTTAAGTTTGCATCTGAGGAACAGCTTGTTCCGAGCAGCCTCAGCTATTCTTGCTCATTTCCAGATGTTCCAAATGGAAAAACATTTCTCTGAAAAGGTGTCAGACATTCAGCTCACAGAACAAACAGCCCAGGAATAAGAACATCACCTGAGGTCAGCCATGGGGACCACGGGCCTCTGTGCGACTGGGGGGAGGCTGGAGAGGACGAAATCCAGGGGTCTCTCTCCAGCAAATTCTACCCCTCCCGAGCCACTGGTGAGGGAGGCCTTGGTTAGCCTTGGTACTAGTGTCTCCCAAATTTGGGAGGCTGTTGGGGAAGGAGTGGGGCCGTCCTGTGTGTTGGGGGGTGATCTCACACCTGTGTGCTCCCTGGGCTGTGTGGTGTGGGGCCTGCTCAGGAGCTGGTCCTGGGGCCCAGGTGACTACAGGAGGTTGGCAGAGGGCAGCTAGAAGCCTGCAAACTCACAAACATCAACATCCCCCGCGGCGGGAATGCAGATGTGTCCTTTGGGCTTCATCCCCATTCATGCCAGGCAGGGATTCACTTTCAGGAGGGCTGGAGGCAGTGGGGCCCCCACTGCCTGCAGGGTTATTTGTCACAGTTGGGGGCCGTGTTGTTCCCTGGCTGGTGACAACAGCGCGGAGCCCTGTCCTGGGCCCAGGATGATGCGCTTTCCTTCCCAGAACAGGAGGCTTCGTAAGCCCACCCCCGCCTCTGCCCCCGCCTGTCCCTGCCTGCCCACTCTGACATCTGGTAGCCCCCCGCCTTCCAGGAAAACAGCGTCAAAACAAGAGAAGGAGGTGGTGGGGTGGGGTGGGGTTTGGAATGGGACCAGGGGTTCAGATGCGGGGGAAACAAGAGGACAGGGACCCCAGTCACCCTGGGAAGGATAGGAGGGGAAGAGCCTCGGGGAAGGAGGAGCCCTGATCTCTCCGGGCTGCCCGCTCAGGCGCCCTGGGCCCTGGGTGCTTGTTACTGCTGGCTGGGAAGGACTCGGGTTCAAATCCTACCCCCGTATTAACCAGCCCAAGCTGCCCCAGGTCGTCGGTGGTTCTCCATGGAGGCCTCACCTGGAGGCATTAGAAAATGTGCCAGGGCAACTGAGATGGTCACAGTGGGCACCCCTGGCCTTCATGGGCCAAGGGCACTGAAAGCCCCAGATGGGTGGACAGTGGCCCACAAAGCAGAGTTCCCCCGCCCCCAGGCAGGCAGCACCCGTTCTTAACCTCTCCGGAGACCAAGTGTCCTCCTCTGTGTAAAACAGATGATCCCAATGGAGTGTTCTTCACAGGGCCTTGCGCGGGGAAGGCCGTTGTGTTTCTGGAGCACTTGGGGACGTGGGAGCGCAGCACCTGCAGGAGGGGAGCAGCCCCGATGGGGTGGGAATAGCTGAGACCGGAGCCTGTGTTTTCTGTTCCCTGCTCAGAATTTTGCCTTTTTTCTTCCACTGGTCAAGGCTCAGGAAGAGTAGCCAGACCCCTGCGAGCTTCCTGTCCTCTGGGCCAGGAAGAAGCCCCATCCCCAGGGAGGGAGGTCAGCGGCCTGTGGGGCCAGAGAACCCTGTGGGGTACTCGCTCCACCACCCCAAAAGCCAGAGAGAACTGAGAGGTGGGAAGGGGCACAGGAGCAGTTGCGGGACGTCGGTGGGGGGGCAGCCTGGGAGACAAGGCTTGTGAGTGTGCCTCATCCCTCAAGCTGTGTAACCTCAGGATCTAGGAAAAGGGGGCATAGAAACCCTTAAAAGGTGCAAGTATTTACTTGGAGTAACTTGGTCCTGGGATCCAGAAGTCATTACCAATAATAAAATCAATATCAAGCGCTTGTCACCCACTGGGTCTGTGGGCTGAGTTTGTTTTGTCAAATTGCTCTCTGTTGCACAGAGGCCCATGTGACACTGAGCTCTGTGGGGCGGGGGTCAGTAGTCCTGGAGGGACAGCATCTCTGAGGAGAGGGAAGGGCTGCCCGTGAGCCCCACAGGCCTTGAGGTCTCTCAGGGGTGGAGAGGTGAAGGGGGCTCCCGGAGGGTGTGGGGACACAGGGGCTGCGTGTTGGAGGAGGGACTGGACTCTGCTCACCCTGCTCGGTCCCCAGAGCTCCCTGCACTGACCCCACTTGGCACCAGTACCCGCGGGCCTGCCTTCCCTCTTGCTGCCCTCGGCCCTCGCCCACATCCACGCACGCACAAGGGAGAAACCACACCAGAGGCCGGGGAAGGGTTTATTGTAGGAACTGTACAAAGAAGCTCATTTGCTGGGCTGGCTTGGGGCCAGTTCCCACCTGGACCAGGTGGGAAGGGGCGCCAGTCTGCAGGGGAGGGGCCACGAGCAGGGAGAGGCCAGACCCCACCCATCTCCTCTCTCCCTGCAGTGGGTGCAGAGTCTGCGGGGAACATCCAATCGGACAGTCCTGAGGCTCGGGGCCCACGAGGGGAAGACAGAGGGGCAGGTGCTGGGCAGGGGGAGCTGACCCCCTCCTGGAAGAACCTTCTGAAAGAAGAGGCAGAGTCACTACAGAAAGAGATGGAAGGAATTGAGTCCTTGCACAGAGGAGACACAGGCCCTGGGTGTGACAATGAGAGGCCCGGGAAGAGGGGAGCTGAGGGAGGGCGGCAGGCTGGGGTGGGCAGGGCAGACAACAGAGAAGACTGGCCCGTGGACACGCACGCATGTGAGTACACGCATGCACACACATAGACACGTGCATACACACAACTCGTTTTGGAGGTTTGGCGGCTTCCTGAGTTTTAATCAAATGGCGTATGAGAAACAAGAAGGAAAAGAAGATGAACTTAGGCCAATGTGCAAGTGTTACCACAAGTGTTCACACCCTTGTGGCACAGGTTCACTCTCCCACGTCCAGGCACTCACATGAACAGGCCGGAAGACACAAACATGCACGCACACCAGCTGTACTCACACCCAGTCTGACACTCCAGGGCACACTGACACACACACACAAAGATACCCAGACACACATGAATCTGCTGGCAGGCCCCGCAGTGGCGCGCGCGCACACACACACACACACACACACAGAGTCACACACACATAGTCACACACACACAGTCACCCACAGAACCCACATACAACTACCCACTCGGGCAGACACAGCCACAGAGGCCCACATACGAGTGACTGAATCCTGACAGCCCTGAGCAGGACTCTCACACCCTCCTCCAGGTCCAGCCTCTGTTCTCCGGAAGACAGCAGAGCCCAGTGCAGCCATGTCCAGTCTTTGGTGCCAGCTGAAATGGCTTTCCAGGCAGCAGGAGGTCAGAAGGTTGAGTCCCAGCTGGGTTAGCCTTCCCTGCTGCAGGCCCCAGGATTGACATCTTTTAGGGTCACTTTAAGGAGGTGGGGAAGGGGGAGGAGGGCATAAGAGATGGGCAGGGGGAAGATGAGAAGGAGAGATCTCCAAGACTTGATGGGGCACAAGGCACCCTGGTGGCCTAATGAAGGTGTCAGGAGGGGAGAGAGGGAAGGAACAGAGTCTTCGTACTGAGCATCAGGGTCCCCGGCCCACCCAGGCCTGGACACTCAGACCGAGTGCGGTGACTTGGCTGGCAGGACCCAGCCTGTTCTACCCATTCATTCTTCTGAGAAAAGGGCAATTCCTAAGTGGAATCCTTCTTTCTGCTCTTCCCCTGGGGGCCAGCCAGGGAAGCTGTCCATGGGAAGGATTTGAGGAGTCACAATCCCAGCCTGATGCAGCAGGATCCAGTGGCCAACTGGGCTTGTGGAGCAATTTCTGGACCAGTAACATTTCCCTCTTCCAATGGAATTCCTGAGCTGGCAGAGGAAACTGCATCCAGAGTCAGCGGGGCAGACGTCCACACTCACTGAGGTTAAGGCATCTTTGCCCAGGCTGGAACTGGGGGGCCTGGGCCACTTCATGGGGAGAGGCCAGTAGCCCTTAAGACTCTGGTGACAAGAGGGCAGCCAAGCCCTCCATTGTAGGCTGGTTCCTCCCCAAGTGAGGGACAGAGATTCTGAGATTGATCTCCCCCTGACTAAGAGGAGGGGTGGCGGGGCCCGTGGGGAGGTAAGAGCAACTTGAAGATGAACTCACCAAGGTAGGGGCTTCCACCCATCCTGGGCCCCGAATGCACTCCCACTTGCTCTGGCCTAAGTGTCAACCCCAGCATGGCCAAATCCTATCCCCCCAAAGGGAGCCGGACGCAGTCCTGGATGCAAAGCCCAGCTCCGTCACTCGGCCCGCAGGCACCTTGGGGGAGCTCTGGGCCTATGCCAACACTCGCCGGCCACCTCCACGCTGCCTGCTAGACGAGAGACTCTTTGACCCCTGGCCTCACTGTCTGCCCTGGTGGCGGGGAGGAAGGCAGGGCGGCCTCTGAGGGGCTCACAGGAGTAGGCGGGGTGGTGTCTGAGGGGCTGACAGACGTGAGCCCGGTGGTGGTGGGCCCCGTGGTGGTGGGCCCCGTCTCCCCTGAGGGGCTCTTCTCCTCCCCCTGGCTCTGCGCAGCGCTGTTCCCGTTCTCGGGGCCGTACATCTTGCTCATGGTGCTGGCGATGAGCCCCTCCTTCTCAGGGGCCCGGTCCCCGCTGCCGTCCTGGCTGTGGCGGTACATGTAGGAGGCCTGCTTCACAGAGCGCTGCAGCAGGTGCCGGCGGTAGGCCCTCTGGATCTTGATGGCGCACACCTCCTCGTGCTTCCTCTTGAGGGTGGTGGTGATGGGCTCGTAGGAGACCTTGGAGGGGTTGGCCGCCATGAACTTCTCCTCCATGGTCTGCTTGAGAGCGTCCATTTCCCCAGAGTCGCCCAGCACCTCTTTGGTCAGGGCAAAGAGGATGTCCAGGCAGTGGATCTTGTCCCCCGGTACCATGGGCAGGTCCAGTGTGATGAGCTTGATCTTGTTGGGCTTGGCGATCCTCAGCGGCTCCTGCAAAGTGTCCACGAAGTCCGAGAGGCGGCTGTAGTCGATGAACTGCGTGGCATCGGGGTCAAACTTCTCCCAGGTCTCATAGAACATCTCAAAGTCATCCTCGCCGAGGGGCTCGCTGCTCTCCTCGGTGGCCACGTTGAAATTCTCCAGGATGATGGCGATGTACATGTTGACCACGATGAGGAAGGAGATGATGATGTAGCTGCAGAAGAAGCAGATGCCGATGGACGGGTTGCCACAGTCGCCCCTGACACTGGTGCCTGGGTTCTCAAGCGTGGGGTCGCAGTCCGGGGGTCCACTGTTGAGGATGGGGTTCAGAAGCCCATCCCAGCCAGCCGACGTGGTGATCTCAAAGAGGCAGATGATGCTGTTGCCGAAGGTCTCGAAGTTGAACATGTCGTCAATGCCCGATTCCTTCTTGACGTAGGCAAAGTTGGACATGCCGAAGATGGAGTAGATGAACATGACCAGGAAGAGGAGGAGGCCGATGTTGAAGAGGGCAGGCAGCGACATCATGAGGGCGAAGAGCAGCGTCCGGATGCCCTTGGCTCCGCGGATCAGCCGCAGGACACGCCCGATCCGAGCCAGACGGATCACACGGAACAGCGTGGGTGACACGAAGTATTTCTGGATCAGGTCCGACAGTGCGAGGCCTGCAGGGAGGAGTGGAGGTGTGTCAGAGAGTGCGGGGCGTGTGGGGCTCAGGGGCCTGGCCTGGTGCACCCTGCCCCAGAGGGGCAGGTGGAGCCAGCCCTCCCAGCACAGGCAGGACAACCTGAGCGGGCCAGGACAGCTGGAGGTAAGATGTATTAAGGGTGACGGGCGAGGGTAAGGCCCATCTTAAGGCTGTTTGCAGATGCCACGGGTGGCAGTGGGGTGGGGAGGACAGCTCTGCGATCTGGGCATGCCACTTAACTTGCTGTGACTCAGCTGCCTCCTCTGTAAACCGGGGGTAATAGCCCGACCACCTGTGGCATTGCTGTGAATGATTGCTGTAAAGCGCATGGCAGAGCCAGGCTTGCAGGAAGCGCTAAGCGGTGGCTTGTACTGTCACGGTTAGGCACATTCCGTGCTCTTCTCCGTGTGAGCAGGTCCTGGAATCACCTTACGTTTTCCACCCCGTATGTGGACAGCTGAGCACAGGTACGTCAGGTCAACGTGTTTCTTGAGTTGTATTCATGTGTGCACAGGTGACAGGCTGCCTATGAGCGTGAGCGTTGAGAATGAATGGCAGGTGCACGCACGTGTGTGTGTGTGTGTGTGTGTGTGTGTGTGTGTGTGTGGTGCTGGGGACTGAACCCAGGGTACCACACCACCGAGCTTCATCCCCAGCCCTTGTTATTTTTTGAGACAAGTCTTGCAAAGTTGCCCAGGCTGCCTTCAAACTTGGAATCCTCCTGCCTCAGGCTCCCAGTGCTGGGATTACAGGCATGTGCCCCTGCACCGGCCACATGTGTGCTTGCGTGGGTTTGTGTGAGTGTGCCAGGTGCACGAGGAAGGCTTTCATCTCAGTGCTGTGGCCCAGCTCACCCACAATGGACAGGATGACCACCACGAAGTCGAAGATGTTCCAGCCGACGGTGAAGTAGTACTGGCGCAGGGCGAACATCTTGAGCACGCACTCCCCCGTGAAGATGATGATGAAGACCATGTTGATGTTGTACAGGATGTCCACCTTGAGCTGGCTCTGGTCGTCCGTCTCCACCATCATGGTGACCATGTTGAGGCAGATGAGGACCATGATGGTGATGTCGAACACCTGCTTCGTCACGAAGTCATACACCATGCCCTGGATCTTGTTCTGCAGCACAAAGGGGTGTGTCGGCATGCATGTGTGTGGGCGTGGGGTGGCAGGGCACAGGCAGGGTCAGGACAGGATGGGGACATTCAGGAGACACAGGATGGTACGATGGCACCACACAGAGGACACACAGAAAGGAGGGGGTCAGGGCCGATGATGGAGTCTGCCACAGGAGGGAAAGGCCGTGACCACACCATCCTGGAGCATCACTCTGGGATCCTTCCTCCTTTCAAAGTCCCCCTCATTCTTCTCCCAAAGCCATTGCTCACTGGGGAGGGTGTCTGGACATCCTCTTTCTCTCCCTTGTCAGGGTCTCTGCACAGGGGCTACTGAGGGTCCCAGGTGAGGAGGTGGATGGCTGGGGTCCCGTGCAGGACCGGATAAGGGGTAAACTGGTAACTGGAGTCTAGTGGCAACTGCTGTGTGTGCATATGGTGTCTCTGTGCACTATGACTCCCAGCAGGTGGGCTCACTTCACCCAGGGACATAGCCCGACAGGCAGAGAGCAGGCTGCATTTGGCCCCCAGAGACCCCCTGGGGCAGGAGCCTGGTACAAGCCACAGGAGGAGGGGTCCAGAGGGTTGGTACCTGGGGCCGGGGAATTGGCTTCTGGGGCTTCTTGGAGCCAAGCTTCTTCATGGCGTTATAGTACTTCTTCTGTTCCTCTGTCATGAAGATGTCTTTCCCTCCAAAGTATAGTGGAATAGGGCACATAAGGTTGGGCTGGAGCCCCCTCCCTGCCTTCAGGACTCCCCCCACCTGCATCAGGCACCACCATTAAGGCAGACCCTGTTCCTGCAGAGGCCTCTGTGGGGAAGGGGAGGGGTTTGGGAAGGGCCAGAGATGGAGGGATGGGGCGGAGGGAAGAGGACCCAAGTTGCCTTGAAGCCTAGGTTGGGTCAATTTCCCGGTTGTATCCACCTCATTTTATAGACCAGGGAATCAAGGTTGAAGGGGCCGCGTCACTGTTCAGGGCCCCTGGAGGGATTTGGAATCAGGCTTACTGCCCCAGTGCAGCACAGGGCCTGCTCAGGCAGCGCTGGTGACCACAGGAAGGGATGAGTGGACACGGAGGGGAGGCGGGAGCCCGGGAGGCTGGGGCGGGCCAGGGAAGGTGGGCAAGGTACTCATCTTCTTTTTCTGCTGGTTGAAGTTGTCGATGATGACGCCGATGAAGAGGTTAAGCGTGAAGAAGGACCCGAAGATGATGAAGATGACGAAGTAGAGGTACATGTAGAGGTTCACCTCGTACTGAGGCTGCTCCTCCTTCTGCAGGGGCCACGGGACAGGACAGAGTGGAGTGCATGCCTGGGGTTCTCCCCGCTCCCTAAAGCACTATGAGCAGGGGTCACCCAACCCCAGGTGGCAGGGGCTCCCGAGGAGACAGAATGGAAGGGAGGGATGGCAGAACATGTCCCTGGGCCATCGTCTGCCCTGGCTTGCTCACCAGTCACATCTCTGAGAGCTGACTCACCTCCCGGGAGTCCACAGCTGCATACATGATGTCCATCCAACCCTTGAAGGTGGCCTGGGGAGGTGGGGTGCTGTGTGAGGGGTGGGGGCTTCACCCAAGGGTTTCCCTCCCCTTCCAGCCTGGCTCTGGAGGCCACCTGCCACAGCCCCATGGGGCAGGCATCAGAGATCAGAGAGATCTGGACACTACTTTGGGGTCCCACAGCATTGGAAGCAAGGTGGGAAGTTCCCTTACAAGGGGTGACAGCAGATTTAGGTGCAGAGACTTGTGGGCACTTCTGTGCCAGTTCAGGTCCAGTGGCAGTAAGTGACACTCACCACCTGCAGGAGGGAGAGGTAGCCCAGACCCACGTTGTCGTAGTTGACCTTGACATTGAGCCAGCGAACCTGGCCCGTGTGCATGAGGCTTTCGCATTCAGACTTGTTGTTGACCTCGGAGATGTCGAACCTCTCTGAGGTGGTGGTGTTGATGCAGTAGTAGAACTTTCCAGCAAACAAGTTGACACCCATGATGCTAAAGATGAGCCAGAAGATGAGGCAGACAAGCAGCACGTTCATGATGGAGGGGATGGCGCCCAGGAGGGCGTTCACCACCACCTGGGGGCAGAGTTGGGGGTCACTGCCAGAGCCTCTCCCAGGCCTCCGAGAGAAGGCCCCCCCACTGCACCCCAACAGAGGACCAGGCTGAGCTGGGCCTTGTCATTTAGGGAGGGCTGATTTGAGCCAGGCCTGGGGGGAAGCTGTCTGATGGGTGTCTGTGGGGGTGGAGTGAGGGTAGTAGGCTTGGGGAGCCGCCATATGGGGGGTTGGGGAGGCTACTCTGCTTGGCTGGAGCTGCCAAGAAACCACTGGGCTTCTCTGGAAGCAGTCTTGTCACGGGTCACCAGGCAGGAGACAAACACTTTCCTCGGCCCCCATAGGAAACTCAGCCACGTGACCTGGCCCTGCTCGCAGCTCAGTTAGTGATACTACACAGAAAGGCCTAGAAGAGAGAAGGCCCGGGGCTTTGAAGCAGCAGGACCCCAGGGCTGGACCTCTGTCCCTTATATCCCTGGTCACACAGGCCCACCAAACTGTTTGGTGGTCTGACCTGAGAACCGTCCCTTTCAAGAAGGAGCCATTTCATGTCCTCCAGACAGAGGGGATGGCAGAAGCCTGGTGTGCTGCCCGGGAGAGCTCTGCTCTTGGTTGAAGCACCACCCAGCTGTGTGGCCATCGAGAAGTTATATCCCTCAGTGGGGAAGAGTCCTTGGTCTTGGGGTGGGAGGGCCTGGCATCGGGCTGGCCTCTTGAATGAGCCCGGAACCCACCAATTCCGAGGGGTCCTTGTGGAGCAGGTCTTTCTGGTGGCAGTCCTTCCTTGGCGGGGAAGTCCCGTTTGCCTTGCCTAGACCCTGTGTTTACCTGCCACTTTCGGCTGTCAAGGGCCTGAGGGGATCTTCTCTAAAATGACCCTAAACTAGAGCTCAAGGGCAGGTAGCTCAGGGCCAGGGAGCCAACACCTTCACACTTGCTTATGTTTCATGGCCCTTGGGGGCCCAGGCTGAGGTCAGGGAAGGACACCCAGAAACCCACAGGCCTTCCTTCCTCTTCTCCCTGCTCAGCCTTCCTGGGTGCTGCCCCCTAGTGGTGGTGCACACCAGCTGAGGGGGCTGAGAGTGGGGACCAGGCAGGCACAGGTGTCTCAGGGCCCCACTCCCAGTCGTCAGCACTTTGAGCCCTCTGCCTGCTCCTGGTGGTGGCTGGGGTACAGACACACGCCCTCCACCCTTCCCGCAGGTGGCTGCTCCCCCATCCTGAGCCCTCTGTACCCACCCTCATGCCCTCGAATCGGGACAGTGCCCTCAGGGGACGCAGGGCCCGCAGCGTGCGCAGGGATTTGATGGGACCCAGCTCTGAGTAGCCCAGCCAGTTGGCCACCAGACTGATGATGGAGACCTGCAAAGGAAGAATGGGTGGTCAGTGAGTGCAGGTCGCCCTAAGCCCAGGGACACAGCCCCTGGGTACAAGCCCTTCAGGGTGGGAGGGTCTTCCTGAGCTCACTGTTCCTGGTTGTCTCCCTCTAGTCCCTTCCCTAGTGGGAGCAGCAGTCCAGGGACCTGTCCCAGCATCCCTAGAGCCTGGGCTCCAGCCCCATGATGCCACCAGTTAACTGGGGATGACAGTAAACAGGAGGGACGGTACCTGCCTCCTTCACGGACCTGTGTGCCCATTAAAGAGGATATGGAAATCCTCCACACATATTGGCAGACCCCCAGCCTGAGGACAGAGATGGCCTTTTGTTCCCCAGCCTGGTCAGCTGTGTCTTTGTGAGGAGCAGGGCTGACTGGAGCTTGGACTTCCCATGCAAGGGCCCCCTAAAGTCCTCGGCCAGGACAGCCTCCAGAGCTGGCTGTGGGTCCAAGGCAGGGCAGACTCACATCCACGATGAGGAAGTCGAGCCAGCACCAGGCGTTGGTGAAGTACACCTTGAAGCCGTAGGCCACCCACTTGAGCAGCATCTCCAGGATGAAGATGTAGGTGAAGACCTTGTCAGCATATTCCAGGATGGTGCGGATGACCCGCCGCTGCTCGATGTAGATGTCCTCGAAGGCCTGAGGGGCACCAGCATGACCTGTGGGTGGCCAGGGGCCCAGAGGCTGGGGCAGCAGCCACATCCCCTACCCTGCCTGAAGCCACTGGTTCCCAGGGGTCTGCCATGGGAGCCAGATGGGCAGCTGTGGACATCTCCCAGCCCTCTCTCCATCATGGGGAGGGGTAGGCTTCCCGGCGGGGAGGAGTCTCTTGGTTGTCAATCATCTGCCAGAGGGTTTCACAGTGACATAGGTTCAGTTTTGCCCCCATGTTCCCGGGGGCCCACCTGCCTCCTCTTTGGCCGGGAGAGCATACAAGTTAGAACCCACAGAACAAGGGGGCCTGTCTGTCACTTTAAGAAGCTGACCCATTCTAGAACCTATTCTGGAGGTCGAGGTGAGGCGCTTTAGGATTCTTTGGATTCAGGACTGTCTAGGCCCCATCCATTCCTGGAATGGAGTGAGAGCGCCCTAGGGGGACCTGCTTGGGACTTGGCACCTGCCTCTGCCTGTGCCCCATCCCCTGGGGGGTGCTTACCAGGGCCCCACTGCTGAGCAGGATCATGAAGACAATGAAGGTCTCGAACCAGTTGTGCTCAACAATCTTGAAGCAAGCCCTGCGGAGGGTCCACCACATCTTCCCGCGGCCCTGGGAGATGTCCACATAGAGGCAGGGGCAGCGCTGCACACAGGCTGGGGGACAGGGACAGGGCACCGCGTCATAAGCCTAGGGCCGCCTCAGGGTGCCTCTCCCCAGCCTCCACCTCACTGTCCCCAGACCCAGGGTTCCATCTGGCTCATGTGGGGGGCTTAGGTCTTCCCTTCACAACCCGTTCCACCATGTATCAACTGCCGCCAGGGATGCACACGCAGAGGGAGGATGCTCTGCAAACAGGGCTCAGGCCACCTACTGTCCCCGTCCTCCCCCAACCTTGCCCAAGCAGGCTTCAGACCATCCAGCCCAGGACCTTTGAACAAAAGTGTTTCTCCAGGGCTGTCTCCTGAGGCCCGTGGCTCCAGGGTCAGCTCCCCAGAGTGAGGCAGGGGAGGGCAGCACTGGCGAAGAGGGCCGCTTGCTTTCCTACGGCCTCCTCTGGCTCTGGTGTGGCCTGCCCCTTACAGGGACGCTGGGCTGGGGGAGGCGCCCAGGCCAGGTGAGGGTGCTGGCTGTGGGTGTATCCTCACCCTCCGTGAAGCACTCCTCAGGCTGCTCCCCCTCGGGGTCCTCCTCAGCCTGCTCCTCGGGGTCCTCTTCGGGGGGCTTGTAGTCAGCCGTGCTGCAGACGGAGGAGTTCCCATCGTAGAGGGGCTGCGGCGGCTTCTGCAGGGGCCACAGGGGCTCATGACCCCTGGGTCCTGAGAGAACCCCTCATCCTCCCACCAGGCAGGGCAGGCCAGACCTGTCCACCCCCATCTGTCCACTCAGCCCTGGTTACTGAACAGACAGTGCGGAGGTGGCCTTGGTCCTGCCTGTGTGCCACATGAGGGCTGGGAGGGGGAAGGGGGGCATGAAGAGACAGGTAAGGGTCTCGGGTAAGGGAAGAACCTGGGACAGAGCTGGGGAGGAGGGTGGCTGCGTGGGGCTCAGGCTGCTGGGTGATCTGGGAGGTGTTGGGGGCACGAGGGGCCTGGAAGAGGAGAAAAGGCCTGTAGGTCCTTCTGCGAGGGCAGGAGTAAGAAAAGCGGTCAGGATGGAGCTGGACCTTCACAGGCCGCAGAGAATAGGCATGTGGTGCCCCCAGTGTCCGAGACCTCCCACCCCCAGGGTCTGTTTGGCTGAGGGATCCAGGAAGGATGGAAAACTTTCCCCAGCCAAGGCCCCAGTCTGGCGCCAAGGGAACCTGATCGGAGTGGGGGTGGGGCGGGGGCTGGTGCTCTGGCCTGGCCAGGCCTCCTCCCACCTCCTCCTGGTGCTGTCCCAGGCCTGCTTCCCAGTCCTGCCCTGACTCTGCAAGGAGACCCTTCATGGCTGGGCGTGAGGCCCCTGAGGAGGAAGACCAATTGGGCAGCTTGGTGGAGGACAGTGACCAGAAAACCCCAGATAGTGGTTCTTGTTCCCAGCCGGCAGAAAAGGAAACTGAGGCACAGAGGACTAGGCCTGTGCACCCACAGAGCTGCCGGCCCTGCCCAGCTTACACAATCCCCCTGGGAACCATGTCTGTCCCCCTTTAAAGAGTCCTCAGGCCCCCTCCCCTCCCAGAGCCTTGGACCCAGCCCTCTCCAGCCCCTCCCCCACCTAGTTCCTCCTACCGAGGTTGAGGTCGGTGCCACATTTCCCAGGGTATTTATAGCTCGGCAGGCACTCGGCCCCCTGGTAAGTCAGCGTGCCACATATTTGGGGTGAATAAGGAGTCAAGAGCTTTCAGGGCAAAGTTCGCTAGGCTCCCGTCTCCAGCCAGCCAGGGCTGGTGGTGTGGGGTGGGGTGGGCAGGGCCTGGCCTCACTCCTGGGTCAGTCTTTTCCCTGCCATGGCTGGAGAACAGGTGAGGGTGGCTCAGAGTCAGCTCCCCTGGAAGGTCCAAGGCAGGGTCCCAGCCTCCACGGCAGCCTCTGGGAGACCACCACCTCGCTCCGGTCCCTTCCCACCCTCACCAGAGAGAGACAGGACTAGGGGGCAACTTGGCCCAGCAGCAAGGGCCCTGCCTGGACCGGCGGGTGGAGTGTCAGGGCTCCTGCCCTGAGGCTGTGTGATAGCTCTCTGCTGTCCTGGTCCCCAACTCCCCTTGACCCTCTGGCTCCTCTGCTCAGAGACCTTGACCTGGATCTGGCACCTTGGCCAGATGGGAGGTTGGGCCCAACCTTAGGTAGGGTCTAAGCAGAAATAGATGATTGTATCAAGCACTTGGCAGGGGCTTTAAGCCCATGGGGGTATTTAGGAGAGGCTTTTTTGGCCCCAGTCCTGGAACTAAGGTGCCAAAGGTAAGAGCATCCTGTCCAGGAGCGCCACCTGCTGGTGCGAGGGCCCAGGTAGCGTTTTGCCTGGCCTATCATCATAGTCACATCAATGAGGATAAAACAGTCACCATTTACACAGCGCTTTCTAAGTGCTCTGAGCATAGCATGTCATGGGATGCTTACAACCAGCCATGGTCTGGGAACCATCACCCCCATTTTACAGATGGAGCAACTGAGGACTGAAGAGGACTTGTGATTTGGTCCACAACCCCGCCAGCAGGGCCCTGGATGGGCTCACCTTGACATCCTCAGGCTCTGAGAAGGTGTCGGTCTCCTCCTCAGTGGGCATCTCCAGGTCAGACTCCTCGGAGGCGATGGGCACCTGGATGGTCAAGTAGGGGTTGTTGATGAAGTTGAGGTGGTCCAGCTCGATGCTGGAGGGAGGGCCGTCCACCAGGCCCATGTGGTTCAGGATGTGATTGTCCTTCTTCAGGTCCTTGTCCCCCTCCTCGGGTGGTGGCTCCTTCTTCTCATCCTTGGGGGCACCTTCCCCGGCCTCGCCAGCCTCCTCAGCGCCTCCAAGCTCCCCGATGCTGAGAATGATCTCCTTGGGGCTCAGGATCTTGCCGTGCAGCAGCCCCAGGAGGAAGGTCTTGGCGAAGCTGATGCCCCACTTGATCCGCGCGATGGCGATCTGCAGGTTGTTCATCTCGCCGTCTTCGTCTGAGGCCGCCAGGCTGTCGGCACTGAAGGAGCTCAGCAGGAGGGCCAGGAACAGGTTCAGAACCTGGGAGACAGGCGTTGGGGGAGCCTCAGGCCAGCCTGCGAGTCCCTGGGGGCTCCACCTTCAGCCACCAAGGGGGGCTCCTATCTACAGGTCAGACCAGCCACACACTGGGCATTTGGAAGGACGTCACCTAATGGAATCTCACAGAGGCTCCTGGAGGGGAGGGCTGCCAAGATCATCCCCATCTTGCAGATATGGAAACTGAGGCTCGTGCCTGTGAGAGGACTCTGCTGCCATGGCAGGTTTGGAGAGGTACACTGGGGGACAGGGACTCTGCACGGGTCTGTCCTCTACCTCTACTGTCAGGGGCTGGAGAACAAAGGACAGGGCTCAAGTCTCACGTTTCTAGGAAACAATCCTGGAGCCTTCTTTTCCTCATCTGTTAAGTGGGACTTTTAACAGACGCTGGGTTCTGTCCCCTGTTGCTCTGGAAAGAACATTTGGCCTGCTACTTACTCCTTCCCCCCCTTGGGGCTCCCTACCACACCTATTCCTATTTCCCTTCCTCCTTTCCTATTGATGGGGACCTAGAGGCTACTACTACTGGCCACCTCTTGTCCTCTCCCCACATTTTATTTTCCAGCGGACAATTACTGAACCCCTGCCACTGTTGGTGAGCAAGTGGCCTCAGAGAGCCCAAAGCCTAGTGGAGACGGACGTCTGACCAGAAAAATACAGGGTGGGTTTGGTGGCAATAGAGACTGGTGTGCACAGGCTTTGAAATGAGGCTGAATCCCAGTTTACTAGCTGTGTGTCCTAAGGCAAGCTGCTTCACTGCTCTGTGCCTGTTTACTTATCTGTGTACTTATTACTATGATTTCAGTAATCCTCACAATGCTTTGATGATTAAAAGATCAATACAAGTAAGTGCTCAAAACATATTGGTTGTTATTATATGAGCAATAATAGAAAGCTCTACACGGTATAGGGAAGAACATGATTAATTTGGCCAGTTCAGCGTTTTACAGATGAGGAAACAGAGTCCCAGAGGTAGAGTGGTTTGCCCTAGGACACACAGCAAAGTCTTGACTAACACCCAGGTTTCCAGTCACAATTTTAGAGAGCACCATTTGCTTAGACTACAATGTGAATGATATCCCCAGAAGTTTGCAAAGCAATGACCTTGCCTCCCCCCACAAACACCCCTGGTGCCTGGGCAGTGGAGGAAGGTGACACTGGCTGGGGTGGGAGGTCCTGGCTGTTGTCCACCAGAGGCAGAGCCAGGTTCTTACTGTCTGGGGCCTGGGGCTTGTCACTGTGTGAGTGGATAAGAGGGAATCTATGCCCTTGACCGTCTTCCCCGCGTGCCTCGCTGTCTGGCTTGACCAACGTCCTCCAAGGGTTTTCAGGATTGTCTTAACTACCATGTCAGCACAGTATCTTTAAAGAATACATTAAAATCCCCTTTGAAAGAGTGTGCTGGGGGGATTTCCACCCTGTGCCACGTCCTCCCGCTCCCTCTCCTCTCTGCCTGAGCCCACCACCCACATTTATTGGTCCTTTTCTCCCCGTCTCAGGGGGAGGCGTCCAGTTGCCAGAAACACATCTGAGATGGGAATTAGCTGCTCTCTGGCTCTGCAGGGTTTGCACACGGCTCCTGCCTGGGACAGAAATAGCCTCCTCGGGCAAGGGGGAGGGGAGAGGGGAGGGGGACAGAGGTCATGTTCCCCGGGGGGCTCTGTGGGGTGGGTCATCTGTGACCTAGTCACTTCCTCTTCTTCACAGTAACCCAGGGGAAGTGACCAAGTGTCAGGGATGCAAGGGGCACGGGTCCCCACAGTCCCTGGCAGGGTGCCCTGGCGCCCTCTGGTAGACACCTGCTTCTCTGAGGCATGGGGGTGTGGTAGGAGGGGACAGTGCCCAAGGAGCTGACCGTGCCGCCTCCTGGGCAGCTTCACTCCCTCTGAGCAATCTGGGAGAGCCACAGAGCTGGGCTAAAAAAGAGAGAGAGTAGGAGAGATGGGGAGAGAGACGGGGTGACAGTCTCCGGAGGGGACGGTGCAGTGGCTGTAGGCCCTAGAGCCAGACTACTTGGGCTCAAACCCTGTACTTCTCACTAATCACCTTCCTGAGCCTTCGCCTCCTCCTCTATGTAACAGATAAAGCCGTCCGTCCTCCATAGGAGGCCATGGGTATAGGCGAATGGACAGCTCTGGGCGCTACCACTGAGCATGCTCAGAGTGCCGGCTAGGGCTGAGCAAGTGCCACCGTCCTCAGCGTCACAGCTGGTATCATGGTCATCATTATCACTACTGCTGCTCTTATTGCAGGTTCTTGTCCTAATTCAATTTCTTTTTTCTTTCTTACTTTCTTTGTTTTTTGGTACTGGGGATTGAACCCAGGGGCACTTTAACACTGAGCTATGTCTCAGCCCTTTATATATATATATATATAAAGCCCTTCATATACATATACATATACATATACATATACATATATATATATATATATATATATATATATATTTTTTTTTTTTTTTTTTGTGGAGACAGAGCCTTGCTAAGTTGCTTAGGGCTCCACTATGTTGCTGAGGCTGGCTTCAAACTTGCAGTCCTCCTCCCTCAGCTTCCCGAGTCTCTGGGGTCATGTAGGTGAGCGCACCCAGTCGGGCCCAGTTTCTCATTGCTGTGTGGCTCTGGGCAGTGCCACCTCCAGGACGTGGAGGCAGCACTGCAGCACTGCCCACCTCAGGGTGTTGAGAAGACTAGGAACAATGCACAGAAAGCCCTTGCGCACAGGTTTGCAGAGGGCAGGAAGGTTATGCCAATAGCTGGTGCCCTAAGCAACTTAGCAAGGCACTATCTCAAAAAAAAGGGGGGGCAGGGGTGTCTCATTAATTTTAGAAGTTATCAGCTTAATTACAATGATTAACACAAAACCACCTGCTTGTAACTTCTGACGTCCCCTGGCCTGGTGGGCCAAGCACTGAGACCTGTCATGTAACCTGCAGGACCACCGCCATTAGCATCCCCATTTTCCAGATGAGAAAACTAAGGCCCCAAAGAGGTTAAATTTCTTGTTCAAGACTTCCCAGTCAGCAAGTGGCAAAGGGGGATGAGAAATATAGTTTTGGGTTTTTTTTTTTTTGGTACTTGGGATTGAACCCAGGGGCACTTGACCACTGAGCCACATCCCCAGCCCTATTTTGTACTTTATTTAGAGACAGGGTCTCACTGAATTGCTTAGTACCTTGCTTTTGCTGAAGCTGGCTTTGAACTCAAGATCCTCCTCCCTCAGCCTCCTGAGCCACTGGGATTACAGGTGTGAGAGATGTTTTTGAGTGTCCACTCACAGAGGCAGAAACCTCCCAGACTCTCTCCAGGCATCTATAGCCCTTAAATGTACATTCAGAAACTTCTACTCAGAGCCAGTGACCCACCCCACCCAATCCTGCCCCAAAGTTCAACCCAGGCACCTTCCCTGTCTCTCTCCACTCACTCAGGTGCACCCGCCCCTCAGGGACAGCAGTCTGGGTTCTTCACTGTAGCTGTCCCACAACCTCCTCCTCCAGAAGAGGTGACACCCCTCCCCCATCCGCCCCTGCCCCCTGCCGGAGCTCAATGATATCCGAGAACGCTGACCCAGCAGCTCAAGGATTCCACTGGTCTTTTTGGAATGTGGGGACGTGCATGCGTCTTCTACCCCGTTGCCCAGGGCAGTGCCAGCCACCATAGGGGGCAGCTGGGCACAGCAGTATGGGGCTCTGAGGCTGTGACCCCAGAAAGGGAAGGATTTGGGATGAGCAGGGTAAGGAGAGATGCCTCCACAGGCCCTGGCCACAGAACTGGTGTCCAGCTGGACCATGGACCCTGCCCTTCACCTTGCCACACCTCCTCCCCTGCACAGCTCCCAGCCCAGTCCTGAACCACAGGAAGGGGTGGGATGGATGAAGTTTATGTCACCTCTGGAGTCTCCGTCTCCCAATGCCAGGCTCTAATTCTGTTTTCCAGAGCTCAGGAACAGAGAAGAATAAGAGGGTAGTAGAAGGTGACTGGGTTATACTGTGTCCACTAGTGAGGCCAATTTTCCCAGAGGCCCCTTGAGGTACCTATTATTTTCTTCTATGTGACAGTTAGGAAACCCAGCCTGACTGGTGAGTGGTCACTGGCTCAAGGTTACACACAAGATGCCCAGGGAGCTGGGACCGTAACACGGGTCTGCCTGACTCATTGGTGTTACTCAAAATACTAGAGGCCTACAGCACCATCCCTGGATGGAGCCTGGAGCTTGTCTGGAATTCAGATTCCCAGGTTTGGTTGGGCCCAGGCTGCTGAATCAGATTCTCCAGGGGAGGGGCCAGGAATCCATGTTTTAGAAACTCCAGGTAATACTTAAGCAGCTTAAAATTTGAGACTTGCTGGGTGAAGCCATATAAAATTGCCATTTCAGGGGGGTGGGGAATAGAAGATAGAAAACATCACAACAATTTCCTAAGATCTCTCTACCAGCAACAAGGCCCTCTAACGACAGCCTTGTAAAGGCACTGGACACCCCTTGAACCCTTCCTGGGTGAGGGTGGGGAAGCTCCGCAGCCAGTCTCACTCACCACCAGGTTGCCGATGACCATGACCATGAGGAAGACGGTGAGGCACATGGCCTGGCCAGCCACCTCCATGCAATCCCACATGGTCTCGATCCACTCCCCACACAGGATGCGGAAGACGATGAGGAAGGAGTGGAAGAAATCGTGCATGTGCCAGCGGGGCAGGCTGCAGTCGGCAGCGATCTTGCACACGCACTCCTTGTAACTCTTGCCAAATAGCTGCATGCCCACCACGGCGAAGATGAACACGATGATGGCCAGCACCAGCGTCAGGTTGCCCAGCGCCCCCACGGAATTGCCGATGATTTTGATGAGCATGTTGAGCGTCGGCCACGACTTGGCCAGCTTGAAAACCCGCAGCTATCGGGCATGGGGAGGACAAGGGCAAATGAGGCCCCGTGACAAGTGGCCCAACCCCAGAGCCCCCGCCTCAGCTGCAAGAACAATTTCAAGTAGCCTGAAGCCCCACCCCTGAGTGATCGGAGGCCTCTTTGCCTCCTGGTTAAATGGGACTACTCATGTTCTACCGCTTCCTGATGTTAGTATGTTAAAAAGAGCAAAAAGCCCTTACCTGCTAAGAATACAAAGCATTTTACTAGTAACATTTTATGTCAACACTTGCTTTAACGTACTTCCGCTGCCAATAAAAACTAGGGAAGGGGGTGAAACAAGAATTGTAGAATGTGGTAGGTACTTGGAGGTTCATTTTCCTTTGTCTTTATTTTTGGATGCAGGGAAGTTCCCATAATAAAGTTAAAAAAAATAACATAAGGGGCTGGGGTTGTGGCTCCGTGGTAGAGCCCTTGCTTAGCATGTGTGAGGTACTGGGTTCAATTCTCAGCACTGCATAGAAATAAATAAAATAAAGGTCCATTGACAACTAAAAAATAAAAAATAAATAATAATATAAATATCCTTTATGGGATTGTCCCCAAGTCACCCAATGTCAGCTCTTGGGGTTGTCAGTTTGGTAGCCCCAGAACTGTGTGATAAGGAGGGAGGGATCCCTGGCTCCCTGTTTACAGGTAAGACACGTTCCTGGGCAGGGGAGGGGCGCCTCATTTCCAATCTTCTGGCTTCCTGAAGTTTCTCCTCCCACCCACTCCGCAGTCCCTGGCCCTGTAGTTCTCTCGTACCAGTCGGAAGGAGCGGAGCACAGACAGCCCCTGCACGTTGGCCAGGCCCAGCTCCACCAGGCTGAGGGTGACGATGAAACTGTCGAAGATGTTCCAGCCCTGCTGGAAATACTCGTAGGGGTCCATGGCGATCAGCTTCAGTACCATCTCAGCCGTGAAGATGCCTGTGAAGACCTAGGGGGAGGGGTAGAGGCCCTGTCACAAGGCTTCAGGGAGCACAGGGCCTTTGGAATCTTCCAGCCACTCCCACCTCCTGGAAGAGGCTCTGTGGATTGAGGGGAAGAGGTCCAGAGCCTTAAGGGGGAAGGGAGTGGTACCCATGGCCCATATGTGTGTATGTCAGGGTTTTTTTTTTTTTTTTTTTTTGGTATTAGGGATCAAACCTAGAGGCACTTTACACTGAACTATAACCCCATCCCTTTTAAACAAAAATATTATTTTGAGACAGGGTCTTGCTAAGTTGCCCAGGCTGGCCTTGAACTTGTGATCCTCCTGCTTCAGCCTCCAGAGTGGTTGGGATTACAGGCAGGCGCCACCATGCCTGGCTGGGATCCTTATCTCCACAGAGTTGGCAGGGAACATCACACTCATCCCACAGATGAGCAAACAAGGTTCAGCCAGGTCAGCAACCAGCAGCCAGTTCTTAGGGTGCTGAGTTCACGTTCTTTCCTTTATCCCTAATCCTATCTACTGGATCCAGTCCCAGGACTTAGCAAATCTTGGTGGACTCAGGGTCTAGGGGGAAAAAATCAATGTGGGGAGGTCAGAGCTGCTTCCCCAACCTTGGAACAGGAGCCTGAGGGCTGCATAGCCCTGAAAACTCCCTGGATCTGGTCCCCCTGCTATTGGGCACCAGCTGCCCTGGGTCTACAGTCTGCATGGGTACATGCTGAGCCCCTCCCAGGGGCTGCCCCTGGCCACAGCAGGTGTCCAGACAGTAGCACAGTGTCGGCAGGGGTTGGGCAGGCAGGCGGGCCCTGACCATCATGCACACCCCAGCAGCTGTGCCATGAATCTGGGGCCCGCCCTCACCCCTCTGGCCCAGCCTGGCCATGCTGCCTCATACATCTCCATGGGAGAGATGTGCCTGGCCCTGAGGGCCTGATTCTTGTGCCACCCACCCAGTCTTGGTCATGCCCAGGGCCCATATCTCAGTCTCCCTGAGTTGGCCTCCCTTTTGGGGTGGGAAGAACACCTTGACAAATGCCACCCTGGAAAAATTGTGAAGAGGATGGGGAAGGGTGGGTGGGGCTAGAGGAGGCAGCGGCTTTCCCTTTGTCAGGCTCCACTGGGGCTGGCAACGAGGTGATAATGCTCCTAATGGGCAGGGATAAGCGGGTGGATCAGGGCACGTCAACAATAGCGGAGCAGCAAAGAGCTGGAGAGGGGAGCAGCAGGGCCAGGCTGGCGATATGGGGGAGTGGGTGGGAACAAGTCCCTGAAGCGCTCAGGGTGAGCTGAGGCCTTTTGGGCCTGGATTTGAGTGGCTATATGCCACATCCCCAGGTCCCTTTCAGGCCCATGCCAATCTCAGGAACTGGAGAACTTTTTATCCAACTAAGGCTTCCATCTCCACATCCCTACTTCCAGAGCAAGGCCTGGATCCCTGACCCCAGGAATTCTGATCTCAATGAATTCAGAGCCTCACCCGGCTCTCCCTTAATGCCTTGAAATCCATATTCTACACCCCACACATCACCCCAGGTACCTCCCCATACATGTCTTAGCCCCATATACTAGGAAAACCCTATCTGTCCCCAGATGCCCCCCTAATAGTGCCCCATATTTCCAGACAGCCCCACTGGGTCCTGCCCCCTAATGACCACCCTCCCCTTTGGCCCCTCCCTACCAGGTTTCCCACAGAAAGCACGTTGTCGAAGTGCTCCGTCATGGGGTAGTGCTCCATGGCCATGAAGAGGGTGTTGAGCACGATGCAGATGGTGATGCCCAGGTCCACGAAGGGGTCCATGACGATCAGGTAGATGATATGCTTGAACTTCACCCACGGGGTGCAGCAGTTCCATATGAGCACTTTGTGTGCGCACTTGTACCACCATGGTGGGCACTTCTGGTGGGCCTCCTCCAGCTCTGCGAGAGGGGTTTTAACAGGTGCCTGGCGAAGATTCTCCCACTGGAGCGCCCCTTCCTTCCTCCACTAGCTCTTGGGACCCCCCCTCCCAAGCCCCACCCCTTAACGCTCCACATCTCAACATTCCAGCGGGTTGGCGGGTTGGCGAGGCCTAAGCCAACCTTAAAGCCCCCATCCTCTACGTTCGAGAGACCCCACCCTCAACTGGCCTTCTCCAAGCCCCGCCTCACACCTCGTCACTCCAGACCCGCCCCCGAAGCCCCACCCACATGACCACACCCTCGGATCCCCCTCCTGAAAGCCAGGCCTCTTAGAACTCCCTCCAGGGCCCACCCCTGCGAGCTATTTCAAGTCCCGCCCTCTCGGCACGCCCCGCCCCGCCCCGCCCCGCCCCGCCCCTCAGAGAGCTCGGGCTGGACCTTAGCCCTCTGCTCTGTGCCCAAGGCTGCCATTCTGGCAGGAGAAACGCCCAGAGAAGAGGGAACTCAGGCCCACCAAAGTCTGGGACCAGACTGAGACTCCCTTAGGACTCTCCCTCCCCACTGCCGGTAAAGTCTGCCCTGCAGGAGTGTGTCCTCAGCCAGATCCTCCTTTCCCTCCAGAGTGGCTTTCTGAAAACAGCCCCTGTTCTTGCAGCCCCAAAGCCATGAGGCTCTGTCCTCTGTAAGGACCATGGGATGAAGGTGCTCCTGCCCCTGGTCTCTGTGACCAATGGGAGCTGCCTTGGCCTAGGTATGATCTCACTGACTCATATAATTAATGCCACCTATTTTGTAGATTAAGGAAAGGGACTGGAGTGGGTGGCAGCCCCTTGGAGATCCTGGGTGCAACCCCAACTGTACCGAGGAATGAGAAACCTGAGTCTCTCAGAGACAGCAGTGGATTCTAGTCTGTTGGTGACCTCCCTCAACTCCATGTCCACTCCTAGGACACTGCAGTGCCCCAGCATCTGAGGCTGGAAACTCATGGTGAAGGTCCCAGCAAGAGTAGGGGCCAGCTCTGTCTGTCCTGCATTCCCTAGTCCATTCTCTGGCACACAGTCACCTGAATGCATCATGCAAGATCACGAAAGGTGAGATGATATGTACCTTCTAAGGGTTTGCAAAGTCCTGTAATCTCACTCCCCCCCACCACACACACCTTTCTAACTCCCCACTTTTAGCCCAGGCAGGCTGGCCTGGAGAGGGACCAGCTCTCTTCTCTGGGTGAGACTTTCTTTCTGTGTCCATTCTCTCTTCTTTATTTCCTCCTTTCTTCCTGCTTTCTATGTTCTTCCCGCCCCCCTTCCCTCCTTCCTTTCTTCCCTCTCATTCATCTACACTCCCAACTGTCTCTTTCCATTCAGGAATCTTTCAGCACATCCATCCATCCATGCACCATCCACCATCCATCATCTTTCATCCATCTCTCATTCTGATATCCTTATTCTCCTCCCAGGACCTGGGTGTGGTGCAGGGATTGGGAGAATCTCTGAATTTACTCTGGGAATTTGATGTTGACCTTTAACTTTTATCCAGAGAACACTGGAAGAGCAGGCTCTTCAGTTTCCGGAACACAGGGCCTTCCTGGTTAGTATTATTAGCCTGTCCTTCCCCGTTGCCTTGGCAGCCCCCAAGGTCCTCCCGGAAGCCCCTGGTTCCCGCAGCAGCTTGGCCTCCTAGCCACAACTTGGCCAGGTTAAGACAGAACTATATTTATCACAGTTTATTTCCTCAATGCCAATATTAAATTACTGTCCTCCTGAAGTTGGGTCTAGTCAGGCTGCACCCTGCCCTCAGGAGGCTAAATGGCCTATGGGAGGGCAGACAGGGCAGGGGGGATTGGGGTACAGGGCACTCACCCTCCATAGCATCAGAGATACCACTGTCTGCGCTGCAGCTCGGCCTCGGGGGCCCCTTCTCTCCTGGCGATGTGTCCAGGCTGCCATTGCAGGCCTGACTGTGAGCCGGGTCCCCGTCTGCCTCCACACCTTCCAGAGCCTGGGTGGCCTTGGCCTGTAGACCAGCAAGGGTGACGGGTGTGAAGCCCAACTCTGAGCCAGGGGATGGATCATTGACTCTCAGAGCCTCTTGTCAAGTCCTTTAAGATGACAGCCCCTCTTCTTGGCCTGTCTCAAACCTAGCAGGTGGGAAAGGGGCCAACTTTGGTGGTGGTGAGATGACAGGGTAAGGACCAAGCGACTGAGGACCCAAACCCTGAATACCCTCCACTTTCAGAGGCCCTGACTGAACCTACACTTCATGAGATTGAGAAAATGGCCAGCGACTCTCTGCAGCCACCTGGGGACCCTGCCTCTCCTCGGCATAGACCTGGAGAGAAGCATGAAGCCATATGTCTTTGAGCTGAATGAAACTTGAGGTTTCACAAGAATAAACTCCTTGTTGTGGATGGGGAAACTGGGGCATTGAGCAGAGAAATACTCTTTCTACTGCCTAGATGGCACCCATCCCACCTGGGACCTTCTACTCCTCCTGTCTGCAACCCCTACCCCCTGCCCTCCCACCCCCTCAGCCGGCAGCCAAGCAGCCCTGGCTGAAGGCAAGGGGAACCCTGGGTCTGGGCCCCTCCCTGGGTTCACACCTTTTCTAACTCCTCCTGGTGCTTTTTTAATTTCTCGAGCATCTGCTGAAACTCCTCCTCTTTCTCCTGATCCTCAGCCAGGGTGGCCTCGTTCTGCTCGGCATACGCCATGGCCACCACGGCCAGGATCAGATTGATGAGGTAGAAAGAGCCCAGGAAGATGATGACCACAAAGAAGATCATGTAGGTCTTGCCGGCCGCTCGAAGGGTCTGAGGGTGGGAAGAGAAGGAGAGAGGGGGTCTGGTGGCACCCTCCCTCACACGCCCATTGCCCAGACCCATAAGCAGAGGGTGTCCCTTGCAGAGCCTGGGGGTTTGCGGGCCTTTGAGGCAGAGGATGGCCATCCTTGACAGGCTAAACCATGTTCTGGGGAACTCCGAAATATATACATGGGATCTAGGTGATCCCAGTGACCTGACAGAGACCCCTGAGGACCCTAGCCAGGCATCCTGAGGTCAGGGAGTCAGGACAAATGGTGAACATGGGCTTTGGGGCCCGGTTGAATCCTACCTTTGCCAAAGAGCCTGATACCTAGTAAGTGCTCAGTAAATACTAGTTGCTATAATCACTGTTATTATTAATATCACCAGGGATCAGAAGGCACCATCCCTCAAATGCAACCCTCCTGCCCTGCAAACTGTAGACATTAAATACAGGTGTCCTTCTGTATCCATAGGGATTAGTTCCAGGGTCCCCCAGATACCAAAATCTGCAGGTGCTCGAGTCCTGTACATAAAATGGCATGGTATTTGCATCTAACCTAGACACATCTTCCCTGTGCTTTAAATAATTTCCAGGTTACTTATAATATTACATCTAATGCAAACGAAGTGCTTTGTGAAGAGTGTCATACAGTATTATTTAGGATATAATGTCACAAAATTTTTTTGTACATGTTCAGCACAGACACAATTTTTTTTTTCACAAATATTTGGATCTGTGGTTGGTTGAATCCACAGAGGTGAAACCTGAGGCTACGGAGGGTCAGCTGTGATGGTATGGGCAGAGCTGCCCTACTGCTTTCTGTGAGGCCTGGGACTTCCTGGGCCTGAGCCTGTGCCAGGCCCAGACTCCAGCTCATGAAGCACAGGTGGGGAATGAAGATAGGCTGTTGCGTGGCTCTGAGCAGGAGCCTGGCATCATAAGGCTCCAGGAGCTTTTAGGGGGCACTGACAGGGTCCCATGAAGGAGATGGCCCAGCTGAGGATGTGGCCATCCTGGGGTCGGCCCTGCGAGGCCCTGAGGAGGCAGTGGAGATGGAGGGCTGTGGATGTGGGGCTGGGGGCAGCTGTACCAGCTGGAAGAGGTTTTCCCAGTAGTCCTGTGTCATGAGGCGGAAGAGAGCCAGGAAGGCCCAGCTGAAAGTGTCATAGCTGGTGTAGCCGTAGTTGGGGTTCCGCCCAGCCTTGATGCACTCGTAACCCTCAGGGCAGTGCCTAAGGATAGGATGGGGGACTGGCTTTAGGGAGGAGAACTCCGGCTAGGGACAGATTGAGGACCCCAAGGGAAAAATATCCCTTGGTCCTGCCTGTGTCCCCCAAACAGAAGGGTCTTCCACCCATGCCCAAGGATTTTCCTTATGTGCCCATGCACCCCACAGCCCCCATCTCCCAGGACTCTTGGGGCTCCTTTTCCCCGCCCCTGGACATCACTCACCCAGCATCACTGCTGTTCCCACAGAGCAGGGCATCATTGGCACCCTCCAGGAAATAGTAGTTTGCTTCGGAAGTCAGAGGTCACAGAGAAGGCACATCACCCACATGGACACACGCAGGTGCATGCACCCATTCCACACCCACGGGTAGGTCCAAGTGTACCACATACACCAAATAGGTTCCCTGGGGACCCCTCTCCCTCTTTTGAGTACAGCCCTGAGTTCCAAGGTCCCCGGGTGGGTAGACCATATGGAGCCCAACTCCATGCAGGGTCTGCTGGGTGCCTAGTGTGGTTACGGTCAGGATTCAGCAGGGACACAGGGAGAGCCATAGGGACATGTGTGTATGTGTGTGTGCAAGAGCAAGGGGCTGCCAGGAACCTGCACAGGACCCTGAGGGAACGTGGGGGCTAGAACCCAGGGTGCAGGTGAGGAAAGGGCACCTTCTCCAACATGCAGGAAGACGCTGTGGGAGAGTGGCTGTGAGGGTGTGGGACTCACGTCAAGGATGGGTATGGGACAGGAGGAGGGTGTATGGGTGCCTGATGGTGACCCTGCCAAGATGGGAGCCCCGAGTGTGATGAAGGAGAACTGAGTGCACAGGTTAAGAACCTGTCTCTTTGTATAGAGAGAAACTCAGGATTTTTAAAGCAGTTTGCCGTTTATTGTCATAGCAACCCATTGAAGCATTGTCATCTCAATTTTATAGGCAAAGATTCTGAGTGCCGCAAGTCACAGTGGGTGATAAGTGATGATTAAGATCAGGCTGGGGCTGTGGCTCAGTGGTAGAGCACTTGCCTAGCATGTGTGAGGCACTGGGTTTGATCCTCGCCATTACATAAAAATAAGTAAAGAAAATAAAGGTATTGTGTCTATCTATGACTAAACTAAAAAAAAAAAAATCAGGTCCCTTCAGACCATGTCTTAGAAGAGGCGGGGCAGGGGCCGCTCTAGGGGCTGGGGGGGGTCCTCCCTTACCGGTCGCCCTCTTTCCTACCTTCGTCATTGATGTAGGCATCCCAGTCAAAGGTGTAGTTGCTGGCCCAGCTGTCGTTGAAGTTCCACGTGTCGTTGGCATACCACCTGTCATTGGTATTCCATGTGTCGTTGGCGTACCAGGTGTCATTGGCGTACCAGGTGTCGTTGCCGTACCACGTGGTGTTGGTGTCGTTGAAGGGCGGGGGCCAGCGCACGCACTTCTGCCGCAGGTTGCCCATGAAGAGCTGCAGCCCGACCAGGGCAAAGACGCTCAGACAGAAGACGGTGAGGATCATTACGTCCGACAGCTTTTTCACGGACTGGATCAGGGCCCCCACAATCGTCTTCAGCCCTGACCACAGAGAAATTAAGAGCATTGGCAGGGGCAGGGTGGGGTGCAATGGACCCCCCTCCCCTACCCTGACCCTGGCCCCAAGCCTTTGCCTACCCCATCTCCAAGGTTCCGCTTAATGGGGCACCACTACCTCTCCCAGCCTTCCCAGATGAACCCTGCCCTTTCTGAGCACATCCTCAAGGTGGAGCCTTGGAATTGCCACAGATCCTCACAGATTCATTCCATACTGGAATGGACTCTAGGAATCACTAGGCTGATGCTGTGCAGCTACACATGAGCATACAGAGGGCTGAATGAAGGTCTCTGGTTAGCATTCCCAAGTGCTCTACAGAACACTAGCCTCCCAAGCTGTGTCCTTAAAAAGGTGGTGGTGGTGGGGCGGGGGTCCATACTGTTGGAAAAAGATTACTTCTATTCAAGGCTTTGAGAAGTCCTACAGAGATAAACAAAAACTTGAATGCCACGTTTCTTTAACTTCTTTGACCACAGAACCCAGGGTTCACTCTGAGAAGCTCTAAGAGCATTCTGCCCCTTCAGACAAAGGCAAAACTGACCCTGATGGAATCCCAGCATTTATGGAAGAATCATAACTTCTTGGGCCTGATCCCAGTATCTCTCTCTTCATTTCCCTCTCTTGCCCTAGAATGGAAACCAAATGCACAGCAGCCTCCTGTGAGGGCTGGGGTTGTAGCTCAGTGGTAGAGCGCTTGCCTCGAACACGTGAGGCCTTGGGTTCAGTCCTCAGCATCATTATATATATAGTGTCCATCTATAACTAAATTTTAAAAAAAGAACCCCTCTGAGCCTGGGGGGTGCTGGCCCAGAGCGAGGCAGCTGTGGCCTCCACTCAGTGGCCTGTGTGTGGCAGGCCCTCCGTAAGCACTTCCCATCTTGGGTCTTGCCTTCCTTCACTCCATCACAGGGCTTTGGACTAGAGAGGACTAAGGCACTTTCTAGCATCAGGATTTAACTGTTTCCCTCCTCCCACGGCCCTTTCTCCATCCCTTTCAGATCATCTTTCCTCCATGAAGGAACCGAGTCCAGTTTCTCCATATGCATTTATTTTTGTTTATTTGACTCGCCCACACTAGGCAACCGGTCCTCAGAACAACCCAGCGAGTGGCACTGTTCTTATCCAGTTTGCAGAAAAGGAAACGGAGGTGCAGACCGGGTAAGGCACTTGCCTAGGGTCAGTGGCAGACAGTGGCATGGGGAGGATTGACCCCGGGCTGTCTGGCCTCAAATCTGTGCTCTTTCCCACCTTTCTACCCTGCCTCTCAGATGCCCAGCCTCCCACAGAGGGCCTCTTCTGCTCTCTGGCCATGTGGCCCTTCTGTGTTCAGGCTGTGGCATGTGTCCTCCACTAACATGAGCGCAGGATGTGACCCTGGGTCAGGGTCCTGGAACTCGAGTGTCAGGTTCTAGGCTTGGGCATGACAGGAGACCTATTGGCTGAGGCCAGGGGTTCCCGCACCTCTCCAGTACCTGGGATGACGGTGATGGTTTTCAGGGCCCGCAGCACCCGGAAGGTCCTTAGAGCTGAGATGTTGCCCAAGTCCACAAACTCTGTCACGTACCTGGTGTGGGAGAGTCCAGTGGGGGTGTGTCAGAGCCCAGTGAGTGGTGGGACAGAAATCAGGGGTTCTCCCTAGGATTCTTGTGGTCAGGGTTACCACAGGGGCCTTGGGGCAGGTCAGACACCCTGAGGTTCCTATTGGGGTACAAGTGTTGGGGAGGACAGTATAGTGGTCTTGCTGCTGGGGCATGGCTAGCCCACTCGCCCAGTGGCAAAGCCTGGGTCAGGCTGCCTTCTGTGGGTAAAGATGATGTATGAAAGGGACATCAGCAGAGAATCCAAGCCAGGCCCTGGGCAGGGCCACCCCGAGAATGGTGTAGCTCACAATCTGCACTACTGGCCAACGGCCCCTGTGGTCCACACCTCTGAGAATGCCAGCCGGTTGGCTGCCCTCCCCTCACCCTCAGGCCCTTGCTCACGCCATCGTGATGACACTGAAGTCCAGCCAGTTCCAGGGGTCACGGAGGAATGTGAAGTCATCGATGCAGAAACCCCTGGCCAGCATCTTGATGAGGGACTCAAAGGTGTAGATCCCTGTGAAGGTGTACCTGAGGGCAGAGGGCCAGCCAGGGCCAGGCACGTCACCCAGGCAGGGGTGCGTGTGGCAGTGATAGACCTCGCACAGAGGGAGGGATGCAGGCAAAATGTGTCACCCAAGGGCAGAGGACATTGGTGAGAGTGACAGTGTGCCTTCCCCCAGGGGACTTAAGGTGTTGATGAGGGTCATAGTGACAGTGTGTGCCCTCCTGGAAGACAAAATCTGTGTCACTAAGCATCCTCAGAGGTGCAGATGCCTGGGATGGGCCGTGCCAGGGCTGGGGCTCTGGGAGGGGAGACTTACTCCACGTCCTTGGACCAGGAAGGCGGGTCACTCATGGTCATGAACACACAGTTGGTCAGGATGGTGATCATGATGAACATGCTGAAGAGCGTGGGGGCAGTCAAGGAAAGTGAGAGCAGGTGGGAAGGGGAGGGAGGTGGACGAGGGTCTCCTGTCCCAGAGTGCCCCGTCTTGCCCACCCCTGGCCCCCCGCCGCTCCCACTCAGGCAGGATATGAGTGGATTAGCACCTTGATGGCGCCACGCCTGACGATGCTAAAGGGGCTCAGCATGTAGAGGGCAGGCGTGGCGGAGAAGCGGAAGATGGACTTGCCCTTGTTGAGCACGATGAAGGTCTAAGGCAGGGAAAGAGTCTGTGAGGCCAAGGGACAGACAGATGGGCAATAGACAGACAGATGGAGGGAGCCCTCCCAGGTCCCAACCTTCTTGTCACTGTAGTAGGGATCCAGGTCCTCCAAGGGGATGCCGATGACCTCCGGCGGGGGGTCCCCATAGATGAGGGGCAGGTTCTTGCCGGCCTCCAGGTCACTGCGTGGCTTCTGTTCGGGCTCCTCAATCTCCATCTGCTTGTTCCGCTGCAGCCGGGCCTCCTCCTCCGCTGCCCGCCGTTCTATGGCTGCCAGGGACTCCCGGGTGAAGGGGCGCAGGCAGTCGGGGCCGATGGGCACCAGGGTGGGCAGAGATGAGCTGGCCATCCTTGCATCCTGGGCTCAGGGGCCAGCTGGACGGTGGGCAGCCAGCTGGCTGCAGCGTGCAGCCCTGGGGTCCTGGGTGGCCACCCCTCCCTCGGTCTGGTGTCCACTCCTCACCTCCTGCCTGCCCAGGGGCTGGGCCAGGAAGGTAGGTGTGCAGGCCCTGGGATTGGGAGATGTGTCTGCAAGGCCCAGGTGCTGCTGCTGCCCAGGTGCTGGGCACAGAGCATCCCCCTGGGCCTCGCACCACACTCTCCCCAGCAGTGATGTGGCCCCCTTCAGGACTGACAGCAAACCAACAGATCCTCTTCTGCCTCGGGGACTTTTGGCCAATGCCCTCAACTGTCTCCTGGGCCTGAGCTCTGGGAACTGTGTGGCGTCAGCCTACGGGGACAGAGAGAGAACTTCAGCGGGCTGTGTCCAGTGACCTCTAGACAGGCCAGGACAAGGGGCCTGGTGAAAGTCACCTAAAGCATCTTAGAGGCCACGTGCATTGGCTGATACTGACTACCTGGAGATGTGGGTGGAAATCATACAGGGGTCACAGCCAGACTGATGGCTGTGATTGATTAGCAATGCCTGCCAGGGCAGGACCAGAATGTGGCACCTCTGCCTGTAATTGCCATCCCTGGCCTAGAGAGAAGAGAGGGAGGATATCGGGGTATGGAGTCCCCTTCCTGATCTCTGTGGTATTTGGCATTAGGTTGAGGCAGGGAAGAAGAAAGAATCCAGGCCTTGCAGAGGGTCTGAGAGCTCCCTCCCATGGCAGGGATTCAAATCCCTGGGCAGATAGGAGCCGATAGGGTGTGTGGGGGACATGTCAGGAGAACTAGGATGCTAACAAATTAGAGGACATACAAGAGAGCTCATGGGGACCATTTCAATGGGGCAGGGCTAGAGCTCTCAGGGACTATTTTTGGTTGGTGGCCATGAACTAGATGGGGAGAAGGGGTATCCACCAGGAAAGTCTGGGGCCTGTGGGCACTGCATAGATGTCTCCTGGGTCAGTCCTGTGCCTCTCCTGGCCCCTGGCCCCTGGCCCCTGGTGTCCAGAGCTTTGAGCCTGTTCCCTGGGGAAGAGCAGTGCCGGGTCACTTATGGAAAATGTCCCTAGGAGAATGACAACATCAGCAGACTCTGGGGAGACCACTGCAGCCCCGTCACACACAGCCGTCACATGCACAAATCCTGGAGCTACCCCCAATGCAGGGCCTCAGGCAGACCCCCAGAGCTACACTGAGAGCAGCCGTCCCATGGTGGGTCCAGGAACTGTTGCAGTGCCCCTGTCCTGGCCTGTGGGTGTACTTCTCAGCTTGGTCAACAAATGGGGAGAACTGCCAGGGAGAGGCCAGAGCCATTGGGCAAGCTGGCCACACCCCGTGCCCAGCTCCTCAGCTGCTCCCTGCCAGGCTTCAAGGAGTCGTGTTTCCCCAGAGATGACTCTGCTCGTTCCACCCATCCTGTCCCGCAGCTGCTCACTGACCCACACGTTCCCGTGCACAGCCGACCTGAAGCCCCCTCACACAGGCCCTCACGGCCCTGCCACACACTTCCACACCTTCCTCTCCGTCACCCACCCCCCGCATGCTCACATTTACTTGTCACCACATGAGCACAGTGGCCTGCCATATGGCCTTGGAGGGACCCATTTGGCATCAATCCTCTTATCTCCCTCCCTGCCCCCATACTGGGGACGCAGCCCAGACCGTGCACACGCTAGGCAAGTGCTGTGCCACTGAACTGCATCCCCAGCCCGACGATCCCCTTATCTTGATACTGCTCACTTGATACTTCATAGGAGCCCTGGGGGACCACAAAACCCAGAGCCACAGGCGGGCCCCAACCCAGTCCCTGAAGAAACCACCCTTACTGGAGTCATAAGACTCAGGGGACAGACCCAGTGCTTCCTCTCAGCCGACCTCCCTGAGCATCCCACACCACTCCTGCTTTTCTTCAGCGTGGACGAGGCCCAGCCCAGTGGCCACTCTGCTCCAGAAGCTCCTCCTTCCCTGCCACAGGGAGGTGCTCTTTGTACAGCACACGTCTCTCCCTTCAAAATTTGCCCTTCATCCTGACTTCCTCTCCCCCGACCCTCTCACCAAGCCTGAAGCCACTTCACATGCAGATGTTTTATTATGTGAAGGGAAGAAGTATCTTCATCTGCTGCAGCCCAATTTGGGTTGGTGGATGCAGAAAGCATCACTGGCAAATCTGGTCAGTTCCCACACCCCGTGGATGTCCCTCCCCAGTATCACTGTCCTCTCTATTCTCCAGGAGTGTGACTGTTTGCGTTTACCTGTTCTTTTCAAATAGCCTCCCACAGATCCCTCCCTCCCTCCTGGTACATCTCCATCCCATCATCCGTATTTCTTTTTTTTTTTTTTTCTTTAACATTTATTTTTTAGTTTTCAGCGAACACAACATCTTTGTTTGTATGTGGTGCTGAGGATCGAACCCAGGGCCCTGCGCATGCCAGGTGAGCGCGCTACCGCTTGAGCCACATCCCCAGCCCCCATCATCTGTATTTCTAAAACCACAAATCTGATCCCTCCCCACCCGTCCGTCCCCTCTCTCTCACCCACACACACCCCTCACTTAAGTCCTCCAGTGGCTTCCTGCCTCCATATGACTCCTCCATGATCCCTCCCTGGGCGTCCAACCCTTTCCCCACCTGGGCCCACCTCTGGCCTGTACTGCTTCCATTTTCACAAAGGGGCCAAGGGCTTCCCATCGCTGCCCCTGTGGTGCCTCTGCTTGTGATCTGCTGGCCTCCTGAACACCTGTCCTGTCTCCATGGAGAGCTGCAGTTTGTCTTTCCAGACTCAACCTACACAAGAACCACTTCCTCCAGGAAGCCCTCCCTAGGCACCCTGGATGGCTGGATCCCTACCCTTGTCGGTACCACAGCTTGCCTAGTGCTCAATAAAGGAAACCACCCTAACCGATGAACTGATGAACGATGAAGTTAGCGGCACTCTTCCTCTGAGCCCCTTTCTCCTTTAAAGTCACCCTGAACCCAAACTGCAACCAGAAACCACATCTCCTCCGATATCCCTGCTCTTCCCTCTCCCCACTGGCTCAGCTGGTGGCTCAGGGGCCTGGTTGCTGTGACCCTTGGGCTTCCTGGTACCTTCAGTCCTTTGGTCCTGCCCTGTCCCCCCTGCAGCAGACCCTTCCGGCTCACTTTCCCCCTCGCCCAGTCTTACAAACGCCCCAAGGCCCAGGCCTCCTGTCTCCTCATCACACCGAGGAACCCAACCTGCACCTTCCAGCTGTGCTCTCTGAGTGGCCCCTAAGCAGCTGGATATGGCCAAAGACACCAGGGGCTGGGCTCACAGAGAAACTGTGGGTACGCACTCTGGCTTTGCTCTCAATCCTGCCAGCCCTGTGAGTGCAGAATTTTCTACTAGTCTCATCTTTCCACTTTTTTTTTTTTTGGAAAACAGATATTTTGTGTCTCTTATTTCCTCAAACTATCACATTCCCATGGTACTCTGGGTGACGACCTGGCCCCGGCCTTCACTGAGAACGTGGGAGCGTCGAATACCACCCCGTCTACACAACCCCACCCCTTCTCCCTCTATCCTGTCGTAATAGAAGGATAAGAAAAACCCAAAGCCAAGTCTTCCCCTTGGGCTCAGACCCCTGCCCTTCCCCAGGTCCTCATCCTCCAGTGACCTTTTCTCTTGACCACTCGTCAACGTCTTCCCACTAGGAGCAAGCACTAGTGTCACCCATGACAGAGCACCCGCCACCCTCACACCCCCTTTATCTCTTGCGCTATTTTTTCTGTTCCTGTTCACTGAAAATTTTCTTGGAAAGTGTCTACCCCAGCTGTCTCTACTCGCTTACCTTTCGGCCACTCAGCCCATTCCAACCGGCTTTCGTTTCCCCCGCTCAACTGAGACGTCTTTTGTCAAATCACTAACGCCCTCCCCGCTGCCAAGTCCTGCGCTTGCGTTTCTGTCTTCACCTTCCTCGGCCTCTCAGAAGCCTTCAACCTAGTTGGCCACAGCCCCCCTTTCTGGAACATTCCATGCTCTCAGCCTCCATGGAATCACGCTCATGTCTTCTTCTTCTACCCCTCTGGCTGCTCTGTATCAGTGTCCTTTGCTTGGCTCTCTCTCTCTCTTTACCTAATCTCTAGAGTTTCTCGGGGCATGATCTTTGCCGGGTGGAAGCGTTCCTGTAACTGTGTCCACTCCTCTGGACTCCACACTGGTAGAGTCCACTGTCTCCTGGACGGCTAGCCAAGAGGAACCCTGACTGGGATGAAGCATTTGTGTCCTTGCATGGTTCCACCCAATCTCCATCAAGCCAGGGAACGGCACGGCCCCCAAACAGTTGCTGGGGTCAAAATCCAAGGTGTCTCCTGAGTTCTCCTTTTCTCTTACTGTCTGTGTCCAACCTGCTCAAAATTCTATTAACGTCATCTCCAAAAGGTATCTGAACTCCACCTTTGTCCAGCCCCTGACCCGCCCACCATAATCCCCCGCAGTGGCCAGTTTCCTCCTCCCTGCCTTTCCCATCGCCACGTCGAATCGGTCCCATAAATAAGCCACTGATCTCTTAATAACAAAACGTGGGTTCCTTCCGCCCACCCTCTCTGTGTTTCTCCTGTTAAAATCCCCTGATTATTTCCCATTGCACTTAAAATACAACCAAAGCTTCCTGCAGTGGCCCAGGAGCCCCTGTGGATCTAGCTCCTTCTCACCTCCCCATCTCTGTTTCCTGACATCTCCTTGGTCACTCTGCACTAGTCCCAAGGCCAGCTTCTTGACCACGGGGCTTGTGCCCACCTTTGGGCCTATCCCCAGCTCCTTGGTCTCTCGGAAGCTCTGCCCCGCCCTTTTCATATGTAAGTTCCTTCTTAGCCCCTTGGTCTAGATTCAAGTGTCCCCTATTCCAAGTGACTTTCTTCTTCCCTTACTTTCTACCACAGTCCTCTGTGTTCTCCTTACATCATGTATCATTATTCATAATTGCTTGTTTGTCTTTCCCCC